TTTTCTCTTTTTAGCGATAGCACTCCGTCTGGATCATGGTACAAGTTTTCGTCCCTCCTCGACCATCTCACACCTAATCTGTAGTAATCACAACTATCTTAAGCGACCTTTTGAAGGCTAATAATAAAGCCGCGTTTACCACAACAATAAACAGTTCTGCTTCTTACAATCTCACGGTGGAGTCCGCACTGGTTATAGCCCTACTTCATTGAACGAGTCACTGCTACCTCGCAGTCGCCAGTTTCAATGATCAGTTCGCGATGAAACCCACTGTGATCAGTTAAATGGGTAGGGTGCAAAGTGTGTCACCGAGTTCTAGAAGTGGCTACCAGAACTGCAACTTCCGAAGGGTAGGGGAGGCAGCACTACCCAAACCTAATCACGATCCAGGCAAAAAGACAGCACCAGAAGTCCTAGGACAATCATCAATGTTCGTGAAGTATGGAGACCTGTCAAAGTAAGTAAATGAGGACAGTTCAGGAAAGTGCTGTCACCATTTAAAGATTTTCAATGACGTTTCACGTCTTGCCATCCGTCATCTAAAGACATAAAAAAGGTTACATGCAGAAGGAAACGTATGCACACACAACTTCACAAATGAAACACACCATCAGATCCCTGTTGCTTTGATGGTTCAACAGGCTTCTCCGCCGGGCGGGGTCTTAAGAAAGCCATGAAAAGTTAGGTTGCAATGGTTTTAATGCCAGCAATCAAACGTTACGAAGAAGCTTACTCGGTGGGGAGAACCACATGTCGTCGGACCCATGGACCATTGGACGTCTGATTGTTAGCCACTTCGCCACGCCTGGAAGAGCAATCAATTCTGATAAACAATCCACCCAACAATCAATTATTTGTTACACATCCATCTGCCACTTACGCACGAAAGCCTCTAGGATCCTGATAACGTCCATAATTGCTGAAGGAACAAAAAAAATTAGCTTTCTGTATAGCATGCACGTTAAGAAATGAAATGAGCTAATGGCATACTTGGATGGTGGGGCGTGAGAATAACGTGGACGATTATATTCGAATGATGACGCATGTGGAGTCGGTTGCGAATTTCGTGCAGAGCGCATTGAGCCACCGCCGAATGCAGGTGCGGGCGGCTGTAGGTCTGAAAGTTTGGTAACAAGCCAGTATCTTGCCTTTTCAAAGAAACAATAATAATAAAAGTGTACCCTTCACGACGACTTTCCTCCTTTGCCAAGATGACTCTGGTGCTGGTGGTGGTTGTTGCTGTTGTTGTTGTTGCTGCTGCTGCTTCAACTGTTTTTCGCGCTCTAGCCTCTCCTGTTCCCCTAAAACACCAATTTTGTGGAGCAATTTAGGACAGTTAACTCGGTTTTGAAAGTGCCCAGATAAGACACCTACGTTTCTCAGCCAAAGCTGCCGCAATTTCCTCCTGACGACGACGCTCAGCAGCCTCACGTTCAGCCTCAAGCTGCTTAGCTTCAGCCTGCGCCTTTGCCTCCGCCTCAAGTCGCTCCTCTTCTAGCTTGCGGGCGGCCTCTTCAGCAGCCCTTCGTTTTGCCAGTCTCTCTTCCAGCACGCGCGCTCTTAGTGCCTCCCATTCTGCATGCTTTGCCTTGTACTTTGCTTGCTCCAACGACCTGAGCGACTTCTCCAAAGTCTGTATGTAAACGTTTATAATACCAGTTAACGGACTTCCTTTTCAATCCCCATCCCAGATAGCTAACTCACGGCAATGTCGCCTCGAATTCGACCAAGACGGGCATTATTCTTGAGCATTTCTTCATACTCGCGTTTTGAGGCTTCCTCAGTTTCCTGCTGTGCCTTTTGGAAGAGTTCAAAGCGCTCCTTAGCCTCTGCAGCAGCGGCTTCCTTCAGAAGAGGAATCTCTTGTAATCTGCACGCGCGCACAAAGTGATCCAGTTTGCGAGCCCGGGCGTTGGCACGATCCAGAAGCTCCGCACGACGTCTGTACATGTCACCGTGCAGCTTCTCCACCAGCGATTCTAAGCTACATTGTTCCAAATCTGCCTCGGTGATTTCGGGCACGACTGCAGCAGGGAGGTTATGTGCAGCCGCAGAATTTATATAAGTCCGTAATCGCTCACGGTCGATCTTAAGCTTTCTTCGCTGCATCTGTTCCTCAAGATGGCGCTTTGTACGTTCCTCCGCCTCCACCTTCAAAGTCGCTTCTTCTTGCTCACGTCTCGCCCGTTTCTCCTTGTCCAAGCGTTCTTCTTCTTCTTCTATCAGCTGAACATATAAATAAACCGTATAGAGTTGAAAGGCGCTCAACAATCTACCAACTCAAATGTGCCGTAAGTTTAAAATCCGTCTTTGAGACACATAAGACCTGGGTTAGGTCGAGAGAGCGACAATTGTATAAAATCGAAATACCCTAGCACGCTCCTCCTGAATCTGTTCAAGCTGTTCTTTGCGACTTTCAATGTGGTCACGACGTGACAAGAGTTCATGATGGTGTTCTTTAGCAGTTTCCATGTACTCCTTGACAAAGATGTCACGTGCTTGGCTATCAGATTCGTTCACGTTAAGAAGCTCTGCTACCTGATGTAGAGATTGTGCAAACAAGGTTAGTTGACGTGACACTTGATCACCACCGGTCTAAAAGAGCAGAAACTGATGATTAGAATAGGTATTCAATATTGAAATGATGGCTGTCCTTGTTTTTGTGGCTTACTTGAGCCGACTGTATGCAATGTGAATAGTCCCGCTGACTGATGCCCAGGTCAATGTAAACATCAAAAATAATAGCATGACGACGATGATCAACACGCATTGGCAGTTCCAGGTTGTAAATGAGCTCAATCACACATCTTTCCAATGTTAGTGGATCATAAAATGGACAAAGGCGAACAAGTTCATCAAAACGCAACGAGCGGTAGACTTGTGAAAGCTGGAGCAATGTTTTGGAGACGACGATATCATGCAGAGGCTCTAGGTAGGCGTTCAACGTCAAATCCTCCGCAATACGGTCCAGCGCCGGCTGAACACGCTGCATCAACTTCAGTGGCTGAAAGTCAACCTCAAGAGCGTGGTATAGCGCTGCCAGTTCTGGAGGGACAATAGTCTGTACCCGACCCATGGACAGGTCGGCAAGAAGAGAAGCTCTGGTTGGAACTGTAGAAAGGCCTATGTAACGGGGAGTAAGGACTTTAGACGAAAGGCCTAAAGGTAACTTGAAAAACACTGGATAGCACGTGACACACCCAAAAGACTGGCAAGAGCTTTCTGCTTAGCTTGATTATATTCGCCGGAGAAAATGGAGAATTGAGCACGGGCGTGAGGAAGTGGCACAGAGAGGGCCGCGCATAGCGCCTTGGAGCCAAGAGAGGAAAGCTCTTCAACAGAAGGAGCTTTCTTATGCTCTCGGTAGAGTGCAAGGCGCTTGTAAAGAGCTGCAGCATGGAAGAGGTAGTATCCAGATCGCAGGAAAAGTTCCGCCGTCTTCGAATAGTAGTCTGCCATGAGAGCGGGACGATCAATTTTTTTCGCCAGTAGCACAAGTCCCCAAATGTCTTCAACAATCTTGAATGCCTCCTACCAGAGCGAGAGAGGAAATATCAAATTAACATGAGATGAACGCAGACTAACCAAAGAGGTTATGAACAATTCGCCTCACGTTATACATCTCTAGTTCCATTGCGCAATCAAGCTGGCGAAGACGTGTCTCAAAATGCCAAATTTGTGTTTCCGAATTGGTCAGATTTATGCCATTCGGAGCAGCTGGTTGACTTTGAATCCTTGTTGTATGCAAGCGCACCATATCCCCAAGCTTTCTAAATTCAGCTTGGCGACGATATTCAACACAAAAATCGAATGCTAGGGATGGTAACGAAACGAAACTATACCCTACCATCTCTTGCAATGCGATGATACACATGCTCGTATTTTATATTGTTGCGAACTAGGTCAAGGCAAATGCGATAGGCCTCCCACAAAAACTTTAACCACGGCATCAGTATCGTGTGACCCGAACGCCCTTGAGCGCTCTCTGTGTTGACTGCATTCAACATAAGACTAGAGAGTAGTCAGACCAAAGGAAAAGGGAAACCTCTCAGGTGTCTCGAGTACGTCCAAGTCTTCCACATCTGGTACGGCATCTTCGGACTGCTTTCGAGCTTCAGCAGTTTTTTCTTTGATGAGCGCAAAGTAGTGCTTGAGAACGTCATCTAATGATTGAGGACATTCTTGTATAGAAATGTTTCGATAATGGTGAACAATCCTCTTGAATTGTTGATTACGCTTCAGTTCAACGCAGAGATCAACGAAAAGAAACATTGGAGCCTCAAGAGACTTTTGCCAGCTGCGTGACCGGCGATACAATAACATCTCAAACAGTACATCGAGAGCACTTCCCTTTTTGCCAACATTTATTAAATCTGAAAGAAAATATAGGCACAAATATATTCGAAATTAGGGAAATCAAAATTCCAGATCTTGACCGAATCTTAGAGGTAAACGGCGCTGCCGTATAAAGAGCAGCACTCGAAGCTACAATAAACCTGCACACCCAATTGGAAAAGCAAGTTAGAAATACACATCAACACTTAGACTATTGTCTCCGCCAAGAGGAAGAAAAAACCAAAGGCAAAAAACGGGACACCAGAACATGATACACCATGATCACAAAGTGCGACAACCACCCTCCGGAAGCCTATCAGCAATAAAACAAGCTACTATTAAGAAAGTTGGTTTTTAATTCTAACCATTGTTCATGGACGTAGCAACTCCCACTCTAAGCATAATAATAAAAGTTCAGCCATATGTGACGGACCCCACCACTCCTGAAATTGATGCTCCTTTTAATCGTAAACACCACAGGCACAAAAATAATACCTAATGCCTTAGCATGGGCGGTCTCCGGCTTCACAAAGTAACTAGGAGCCATGAATAGACAGGAACGTAATCCCAACGCTGTCCTCCTGCTTTGGGAAAGATTGAGTGAGGTAAAACAAATATCCGACGGGATGGGTAGTAGAACCAGGAAATTTTAATAAAATACGGTAATTTTTTAAAGCAGTTAACGATTAAAAATATTTTTGCTAGGCATGATCTACAATAATACAAAGTTACTTGCAGTTTTAAGCATAGTAAGCATACATTCCCCATTGGTAAAAAGGATCTGTGCAAATTAAGAGTTGAATTAAAATACGTTGCCACTTAACTATTTGTACAAGTTGCATGAGTCGTGCTCTCATAATTGCTATCGTAACAACCCAAGACTTCCTATTGCGTAGAAAGTATTATAGCAACGATTGTTAAATAGTACATGTTTGCAAAACTAATGTTGGACTTCACACTCTACCCTCAAGCACATGTACCTCTGCTTCCTAAGAGAGTTTGTTTGGGATGGTCTGTTAGTCACCCTTTACAGAAGAGCAAACAGTTCGAGAATGTATTAGACGATGATTTAGCATCTTTATGCAGAATGGTCCTCGTGTTTTTCAAGCATGGGGTTCGTTTTCGAATTGACTACTCACCTTTCCCCCATAAAAGAAACTTAAATGCATTAATATATATTACAGCCCATGCACTTTGGTAAGTTCTAGTGGCAAGTTGAGATAATTTTACTTATTTATCCTTCGATCACAGTAGTAGTCGCCGACGCTTAATGTCCATGCAGCCGCTCTTTTATTAAACACATTCTTACGGGTGTTCCAGGAGAAAAGAAGAAGACGGGCTTTGAAATGCGAGAAGGTCAGCCCATATGGCCTGGAGCAATCTAAATACGAGAATCACCGCCAGCGATACATGCAGTCGAACAAAGTATAACATTGTCCCTTTTTCGCGCGACTTTCTCGGAGCTTTCCTTGTGCCAATTCCAGCGACAGTCACTACAGTATATCAGTGCTGCAAGAATACACATACGAGCCATTTTCCTCTGTAATTAGCTCTAATGAGACTAAGAGAACGCGCTTCATTCTCTCAACAGCTTTGACCGAATCTGGAGTTACGTTTGATCCAAATACAGGATCCTGGTAATTACCTTACGCTTGTTAGCATGGGTTGACCTGTGACTCAAGCCAGCTTTTAATCACTCCCTCTCCTCGTTGATAAGATGCATTTTAGCCCTACTTACCGTCTTGTGCACCGAATGTGAAGTGTACAAGCGTTGCACTGCTGGGATCTTTCGTGTCCTCGACTGACATTGGAACAATGTTTGATTACAGAATGCTTAACAGGGGAAGCAAGATCGAACCCAGTCCCTTAGATATACCACTACCGACATCTCCACGCGGATATGGTTGACTTTCTAAGGCGGTGTCGGTTAAGTTGATAATTGCCTGTTTATTAAGCATGGAAGACAATCGTATGCGTTGTTCTGAGCTCTTCTGTTATAGAGAAGTGAGAGATTTTCATCCAATCTCCTGCCGAAGTACTTGCCCATTATTACCCCCACTAAGGTTTGGTACACACGTAGCAGACGGTATAACGTCCAAAGTCTTTCCTCTAGACGGAAGAAGGCGATAAGTTGAGTGATAGCTTGTATTTTGAAGGGAGGAAAAGAAGTTGGGCTTTGGCTTGGCAGCTCAGTCCAAGAGCGTAGGAAAAGATGAGTGTAAAAAATGATCGTCAATTATTCAAATATTCAAAAAAACAAGGTATTACAGCTACATTTAAGCCTTAAAACCTAATTTCGGATATTGTATATTTATGATCGTCATATGGAAGGGGTTACAGCTACTAGCATGGAAGCAAAATCCCACACAGTCCAACAAAGACCTTAGAGTGGAGATCCTAATTTCTCTTTTGCCATTCAAAATACGAAGTAATGGATGTCGTCTTCAGTGCTCCTTGTAGTCTTATAAATAACCAACTGTACCTGTGATGCATAGTGGGTGTTTACATTGCCCTCCGCAGGTGCGCGGCAATGCTCGGGATCGTTGCAGGCATTCTCTCACTCACATTCTGTTTCCCGCATAGAGTCAACCTCGTCTAATGAAACCATAGGTAAGGGGTTAAGCGAAATCACATCGTGACCATTAAATCTACCTACGATTCATCCAATTGTTGTTTGACTGCATCCCAAATCCGCTCTGTTGATTATTCTTGATCTGGATTTATACTTGCTTCTGACTTGTTTGCCGTGACAAACAAATTGTCGCGCGATTGTGGGCGTCTACTGCGAGGCTTTGGAACTATGGTTTGATAACAGGGTAATGTTGTAAGGGACTGCAGAGAACGTAGTTCCATAAAGCTTGAATTTAGTCTCCGCCCTTTTGCTGCTCCCTGTCCCCACCTTAAGGATGCCCAGTCATATTGCTAGGGTTCTGTCAAGCCGACATAAAAGTAGAGGTGCATCATTAGTTTACTGAGATGACGTTACTCTGGACCTTCTCTTGTGGATTGTCAATGCTTCTGCTTCAGAAAGCAAATGCTTACAATAAGTACGCTGAATGTTTCGGAGCATCTTATACATTTTCCCATTACTAAAATGCAGCCTAAACGATGCGGAAAATGCATTGAGAATTGCGTAATGGTGAACATACGCAGTATCTTTTAAGCTAGAATGACCATTTAAGCCTCCAGCATTGTCTACCATATTTCCAAGCTCACCTAACCGTTTTTTAATATTCTCACAAAGCTTTAAAAGCTTGTTAAATGAATTTTTCCGGTTTTTTGATGGAGTTCATCAAGAACCATTTTGTTTCCTTAAAATCAAAGGTTATTTGTGCACATGCAATCAAAAACATTGAAATAATCAAGCTGAGTACTGCAAAAATCCGAATTGGAGTCTGTATCGAGGGCAGAAGTTGGGAGAATTCCTATATTTACTTAAAATAAGACAATCGAGCCAATTAATGACTTTTTCTGTACTCAATTACTCGTGCTGCTTGCTCTAAAAGTCAAGTCCCTTTGTTTGGAGGCCTTTCAGTGGCCTAATAAGGCCCGCATTTCATGCTATTGTGACTGGCGTACAGAGATGATAAAATGGGGGCTAGTAGAGGACGCATAGACACCTCAAACTATTTTATTATCAATCTCAACGGACTGAAACCTGAATCAGTCGCCTCCTAGACGGCTAATCCTCGAACTATCAACAACGCTATGACGTGTGATTTACAAGCCACCGCGCATAGCTGTCAAAAAATGGATCTAAAATGTGGCCTACGGCTTGGGTGACCAAACCATTAGCAAGGTGTTTTATAATGCCTCTTCCAATTGCAGTTTTTTTTACTAACAAACATGTAGACGTGAGCGGATGAACCACGACTTTATGACTTGCACTAAGAGTTGGAGAAAGAAGAGGTCTTTACGCACAATTAAAAGGCCCTGATTTTCCATAGCCGCGACCAATTCAGTCCTGGTTACACATTTGCCCAAGTTCTACACGCTAGCACCGGGCCTAGGTGATGAGCAAATAACGTAAGGCTGCCTCGATGATTTAGGTTGACTGATTGTTTATGGTTAAATGTTGGGTTTGTCACTTACTGGTGTGTCCAAGACCGCCATTATTGAGATTCTGCATTACTCCCAAGTAATGCCTTAACATTTGCTCCGAAGTTGGTGGACTTTGCACTGTTACTGAAAGCCCAGCTCACTGCTAGGTGGAGCTCATTGTGTCAACACCTTGTCCTTTGGTAGTTAACTCGATGAACAATGCCAAACTTGCCAAAAGCCGGGCTAACAAAAGAGTCCACGAAGTTAAAACACATACTATACTCGTGAAAAGAGACCACTGAGATCAATAAATTTAGCACTGTTCTGCTTAATAAGGCAGACTTTATTTAAGACAAGACGCACAATTTAAATCGCAAATGAAGCTGCTAGCTGCGACCGCAGTAGGGTTGGACTAATCCAGATTTTCGTTAGATTACCAAAACCGTTGAAACAAGTATTATCCGATAGGAGACACTAAGAACTTTCACGCATACATGGTTGGGTTTGATCAAAGTTCTCTTCACCCGCAGACATGAAAGGGATCCGGAAAATACTTATTTCAACATGAGCTGAATGACAATAACAACCAGGGAGGGAGAGGGAGTCAGTGGAAGATGGTTGGAGCAAGGATTAATGAGATTGGCCAATTTAAAGTGACCAATTAGAATTAACGTGCCTGCCAGTACCTTCACCCACAAACAAAACTTCGAATTCGTTTCTGAAAATGAAATGAAACAAAAACACATAAGCCAAGGTTAGTTCACCCTTTCAAATGTCACAACTTATTCTATCTACCCTCCTTGTTACTCTGCCACCCTTTGGAATATGCCCAGATATGGTTGAAACTAGCTTTTGTACAAAGAACCCTGTCACACCTCCTCAATCCCCTTTAGAACCCAACCAGTTCAATTTGTGCGGTATTTATAACGTTGGTCAATGGACATCGCTTCACAAATAAACACCTTCTATCCCTTTTAAGTATGGGCTATTTTAGTAACAATAAATTATGTTCTACTCCACAAAATACGTGACTCTATATACGAAGCTGAAAGTTTAAAAATCTAATTCTACAGTCGGTAAGCTTTGCACACAGGAATAAAATGTTTTCACTTGTGGATAAATAATGCTATATGGGAAACATGGAAGTGATTTTGTCAGAAATGAGGGTGGCGTGACTTAATGTATTATTTTTGCAAAAATCACTTAGCGTGCTTCTGTTATTGTCAAACAAATGTGCATAGAGTACAGACTAGAAATAGCTCATTCCGAAGAAAACCCTCAAACACCACACAAAGCTCAATTGTTCTAGTGCACAAATTTTGCAAATTTTCTACATTTATTTGTGGCTTTACTCCTCAAGTTTTAGAATGTAACTAATCCATGACTTTTTATCCAAAATTTCATCATTAGTATATGGCACCTAATTGCGTTATTCTTCAGCCTCCCAATTTTCTTTCCAAAACGCTGATACTAATTAAACCTTAATAAAACCAAGGGAGCATGGGTGATGAAGATGAGAAGGTCTTATCGCCCTTCATCTCACCATGTCAACTCAAAGACTATTTTTCTAAGGCATAGTTTATGCAGTCCTATGCTGTTATGCAAGGATAATGCAACGGCTAACCCCCGTCCTTCAGGCACTTTCCTTAAAAGAAGGCGTAGACAACTTTAGGTGGACTTGTTAGCGCCACCCGTATCTGCCGCTTGGTTTTCAGCTGGTGAAAATTATGGTAGTAACAATTATGTATGCTTGCAGTCATGCGCGCCTTCACCAACTAAGACGGCACATTGCTAGAAATGATTTATACCCCTAAATTATGGGTATTGGAGGAATGAAAAGATTGTGCAAACGTTACAAGACAAATGCTACTTCCTATCATGCATCAACCAGCAGAAAATTGACATGCATTTTAGCGCATTGTTTTTAGTTAAAGCCTACCATATTATATACTTCAGGCTGTCAGTTTTTTTGCGGAGATCGGTGTTGATTCTGCCTACGGTCCCTAGTGGGCATAATTAAGAGTTTGACTGGCTACCTTATCTAAATTTTCTATGCTCTGTGATAGAGTTTTTAGTTGCCTTAACCTGAACTTTAGGCACTGCACAGCCTCATTTCGATTCAGAGCTTGGTAATTCGGCTGTTCATTTAAAGTGCTTTTCTCTGTCAAAGAGCCGCGCAGATCGGTGTGAACAAGCAAATGTGTTTTGAGTTATCATCAGAACGTTAAGATTATTATCTCTCCCTATCCTTTCAATGTGCTTCCAAAAATTGGTCTATGCTTGGGAGTTTGCTTTTTTAATTCTCCTTCGGTAATATTTCAAGCTGAATGAACAATGTAGGTGACAGGTGATGGATGACTTCTCCTGACTGGATCGAAGTGAGAAAACCATTTAACCTCGAGTTGCTCCACTACGCCTGGTCGACTCTTCAAAATAAAGAGTAAAGTGAGAGTAAAAAATGGAAAAGAAAAATGTTTATAAGTTTCCTTCTTTTTACTCTGACAGTCCTCTTGAAGGTCTGCCTAAGTGCTGGTGGCGAATGGATATTTCTCGAAGTCGTTTTTCTACTATGGGGCGAACTCTTCCTGGTCTGGAATGGTCTTCGCTGTAAACTCCACAGTCACATGAATGATTCCTCCACTTTGACTTCGAATTCAGCACTGAGGAGTGTGTAATAGGAGGAGAATTAGGGCAGGAAGGTAGTGCTGACAATTGAGGCAACTTATCTTTCAAACGCCTCCTCTCATTTCTCATTCCTTGCTTTTAAAGCAAGGAATGGCCGGGGCTGCCTTTTGACAGCCGATGAAATTTTAACACATTCAACTGAAAAAGGTCCCACGACTCTCCTTTAACCTGCCTTTTTCAAAAAAAGGGTTTCTGAATGCCTTTTACTTGAAAAGTATTTTATATCTTGCAAGTTTTTTTGCCTCCAGAGGACAAAAAAGGATTTAAAAGATTAAAAGTTGTACATATTTTAGGTTACCAATCAGGAAAACCGAAGTCAGGGATGCAGAAGCAAAGCAAATTCGCTATCTTCTGTGACCTCACCTCCATACGAGGCGTACAACGGATTAAACGTGCTCAAACTCCCTTTATTCGGATAATTTGGTCCATCTTTGTGATCCTCATGACGGCGGCATTAGTCATTACCATTGGTTTCCTAGCGAGAGATTTTTTCTCCTTCAGTACCTCCTGGCATTCACGAACCCTCATTGATGATAAGACAGACTTTCCAGCTATCACCATTTGTGCACATAATCCCTTCGCTTTGGAGGCCAATCATATTTGGGCCAAGGCTTCCATCCTTACTCCCAGTGAATTTAACCGTCAACTCAGTGCCATCACTCTGGCCTTTATTGAGAATGGCAATCCTGAGTACGCCAGTCTCCTGCTTCAGGACTCCACTGACACCTACTTTGCAAACCTTCGACCCGAGGAGTCGAGACGCCTTGGACATCAAACCACAATGTTTCCACACTGTATGGTCACTGTAGATGGTGTTAATATTGTTGCAGAGAACTGCACAATAGAAGGAGATACAGGTTTTACAAAACAACGATTTTCTCATCCTAAGTACTTCAATTGTTGGACCATTGAAACTGCGGACAATAAATCCACAAAAGACACTGTTCGTTTGACTCTCCTTCTCAGTCTTGTCTCTTCCAAGGAGATAAACGAAAATCGAAAAAATTTTGTGATGGACACGTTCTCTCGTGGTGAAGGCGTCAAACTGGTTGTA